CTGAGCGCGCTAGTTTTGGAAGTTGTACATCTGAGCCCGCTAGTTTTGGAAGTTGTACATCTGAGCGGGCTAGTCTTGGAAGGGTTAGTTGCAGAAATACCCGGTTTTCACTGTTTGCTGGCCGGTTTCCACTGTTTGCCGGCAAATACACACGTCTGTTCGGAGGGTGTATTTCCCGTGAAACAGTAGAAAACGGGTATTTATGCAATTATAGCTTGGAAGGTGTACATATGAGCGGGCTAGTTTGGGGATTCTTACGTCTTTGTGGGCTAGTTTTGGACGTTTCTTACACCTGAGCGGGCTATCTTTTCTGGAACTCACCCTAAAAGTGAAACATGCATACACAGGAAACTTGAAACGTGGCTGCCCCCCCGCCCAACCCCCCTCTAAAACAAACAAAAAAAAAAAACTTGAAACGTGCCCGCTGTTCTCACTATGTCTATCATGCCATGCAAGTAATATCCAATAAGTTGGGGTCGATTGGTTTTCGTGACACTTCAAAAAATAAACAATTGTAAAGTTTGAGGTGAAGAACCACTACTGGTATGCGACTCATGTGATCGCCATTTCTATGATTGCTTTCTTTGTTTGTTTGTTTTTCTCTTTCTGGTGCTGCAGGCCTCCCCGTCCTCTCGCGGAGTTTGAAGGCTGGTGAGTAGACATCGTCTTCTTTTCCCTGGTTTTCATTTGCCGTAAAAAAGTCGATTCTTTCTCTTTTTCTTGGCTCCTTGACCTTTGCTCTGTTCTCTTCTCTGGGAACCGTCAGACCTGTTCCTCGTCAGCGGACAAGTTCTCCCCCATCATCTTGCTGTTCTAGATCGTGCATCCCTTTTCAAGTAATCTCTCCGCATGGTGTAGAGAGAGCGGGCAAATCCTAAACTCAAACCACGAGCATTTCTATGCACAGAGCACAAAAAGCTACCCTCTCTCTCTCTCTCTCTTTGGTTTTGTTCTTGTTCAGTTTGTGTACGTCTTTCTCATCTCTCATTTCGTTTTTGATCTCCCACTTCTCTCCTTCCATTTTCTTCTTCCTGTTCTCTCTCATATCGTTCTTCTTTTTCCCCTGCTTCAGTGACATGGAGGATGCCGATTTCGGAATGTGTGGTGTGTGGGATGTGTGGGGTGTGGGGTGTGGGGTGTGGCGTGTGGGGTGGGGGTGTGTGT